TACCCCTAGATCTACCCCTACCCCTAGATCTACCCCTACCCCTAGATCTACCCCTACCCCTAGATCTACCCCTACACCTAGATCTACCCCTACCCTAGATCTACCCCTACACTAGATCTACCCCTACACTAGATCTACCCCTACCCCTACCCTAGATCTACCCCTACCCCCACCCCTACCCCCACCCTTACCTTCACCCCTAGATCTACCCCTACATTTACCCCTACCCCTACCCCTACCCCTACACCTACCGAAAAAGGGGGGGGGGAGGGTACATTTGACAATTAATAATAGATGCAGTTCACATATATTTTGGAGGTTTGCGAAAGAGTGCTAGATCTAGTAATTACGTTTTACGCATGCTTAGTAGTAGTAGTAATAGTAGTACAGGGTTTTACGGCGCTCGCAACTGCTTAGTTTTTAGTTTAGTAGTACAGTGGAGTCCACTTATAACGAGTCCTGAAACAACGAGAAGTCTGCTATAAAGACACTGTTCTAAAACCCCGTTTTTTCTCCTTCTTTATCTTTGTATATAAAATACTGCTATTGCGCAATCAGACCGTCACGCGAGTCGGTTATATCGGAATATTGCTGCTGCATGCACAGCGCATAGACCAATTAAACATATTATAAAACCTCGCCAGTTGTTGGTGATCCAGCGAAACAAAGAACGGGAGAGCCCACGCAAACGAACAATGAAGGCCGGAGCGAATGAGTGGGGAGGGTGTAGCAGAACGCATCGCCCAGTCTAGATTATCTAGGCATACCGTGCCTCTCACTTCTCTGGTGCGGGATGGAGAGGTCACAATGCTGTGATAGATGGGGTGAATGTGTGACGTGCGCAAGCAGACGCAACACACCACAGGGTGTGGTGGGGTGTGGTGGGGTGGGGTGGGGTGGGGTGAGGGACAACACAGCGGGCGAGTAAGCCTTGAGCTAGAGCCCCTTCTGTCTGATCGCCAACGCCGATTCGTCAACATTGCTAGTGCTAAAGAAAGAAACCTGATTCGATTTTTCATCAAGTAAGACTTAGAGATCATGTTGAACAAGTCGTCATCAGGGGAAATACAAAAAGAAATAAACAGAACGCCAAACTCATAGATTAGGCCTACTTTACTATTTCCTTTGAATTTATTACTGGATCCCTTGTAACGAGAATCCTGGTATAACAGACATTTCCCACTGGTCCCTTCCCTCTCGTTATAACAGGATTCCACTGTATAGGGTTTTACGGCGCTCGCAACTGCATAAGGTCATATGAGCGCGCGAAACACAGGTTGGTCTTGTTCACAACAGTTCGCTGTACGGCTGGCTCGGGTCAGTAGTTAAATCTTAAAATGTTTTAAAATCAGTGTTAATATACATATATTTTCAATCTAAAACAATTTTTCTAGTTAACATTTAAAAAATTAAATAGTACAATTTTACTTTACAATTTGCCATAAAGGCCAATGGCCTTCATACAATTCAATATTCTGCTGGGAACAACGACGGAAAAAATATCCAGCAATTTCTTGCATTTATAAAATTTCCTTTGGATCTCTCCAAAGTCTAGACATTCGGTTAAGGTGTGTCTAACGGTAAAATCT